CAATAGTTATGCTGCCATCACTACAGTCAATTTTAGAATATTTGTATCCCTCTAGAAAGAAGTCCTGTACTCATTAGCAGTCATTCTGTTTCCCCTTCAGCTCAACCCGTAGCGATCACTGATCTTTCTGTCTGTATGGATTTGCTTGTTCTGTGTATTTCATATGAAATATGTGGTCTTTTTGTGACTGGCTTCTTTCTTTTAGCATACTGTTTTTAAGGTTCATTCACGTACATGTATTTATATTATATTATATTTCCCTGATGGCTAATGATGTTGAGCATCTTTTCATGTGCTTATAGGCCATTTGTATATCTTCTTTGGAGAAATGTCTAGTTCTTTTGCCCATTGATAATTTGTATTATTCGTGTTTCTATTTTTGAGTTGTTAGAATTCCCTGTATATTCTGGATCTAAGTCCTTTGTCAAATACGTGATTTGCAAATATTTTCACACATTCTTTAGGTTGTCTTTCTTGGTGGTTGGTATCCTTCAAGACATGTGCCTATATTAATACATTAATTACATCTCATGGAATTCTTGAAATAAAATCGTAGTTAGAGGTGAAAAAAAAAAAAACTACGGACTTTGGCTGATAACGATGTTTCACTGTAGGTTCATTGATTATAACAAATGACCTCTCTGGTGGGGGATATTGATAACAGGTGAGGCTTTGCATGTGTGGGGGCAAAGAATAAATGGGAAATCTTTGTACTTTCACTCAGTTTTGCTGTGAACCTAAAAATACTCTGAAAAATAAAGTCTACTAATAAAATGTTGAAAAGATGCCATGTTTAAAGAATGTTGTCCACTAATCACAATCTCTACTTCCTTCCTAGCTACTGTTCTTGGCAGAGCTACTTGGATTAACAATGATGCCTGGCAGAGTAACACAGAGACCATAGGAACAGACATTTTTCTGAGTACATGTGGAAGACCAACTGGGAACTCCAAAATATTTTGTGATGGATGTTTGGATGGAACATCCAAAATATTTAGTAATAGATGTTTGTGATGGAAGCCTACTTTGGACTTCTCATGGAGAACCTAGAACTGGGTCAAGTCCATTGAAATTAGTGACAAAAACCAGGCCTGGGTAATGACTTTGGGTTGAAGAGGGACAGACTGGGAAAAAGGGACTTGATTGGCAGGTTTTAGGTGTAAGAGCAGAAAGGAAAAGGGAAACATTTATTTTTTACTCTGTACCCTTTTGTACCTTTTCAAATTCACATCATGTGCAATATTACCTATTTTTAAAGTAATTTTTTAAATGTGACATGGAGAAGCAGAGAAAGTAGTAAAAGAGATTAGGAAGGGGGGTGATCTGAGTGATTAGAGGAAAACCAGGAGAGAGTAATAACATGAACACCAGGACATGAACATTTCCAAAAGGGAAGTGAGGCCAACCATGGGATAGTTAATACTGAGTGTCAACTTGATTGTATTGAAGGATGCAAAGTATGGATCCTGGGTGTGTCTGCGAGGGTGCTGCCAAAGGAGATTAACATTTGAGTCAGTGGGCTGGGGAAGGCAGACCCACCCTTAATCTGGTGAACACAGTCTAATCAGCTGTCAGCACAGCTAGAATATAAGTAGGCAGAAAAATGTGCAGAGAGAGACTGATCTAGCCTCCCAGCCTACATCTCTCTCCCATGCTGGATGCTTCCTGCCCTCAAACATCAGACTCCCAAGTTCTTTGGTTTTGGAACTCAAACTGGCTCTCCTTGATCCTTAGCCTGCAGATGGCCTATTGTGGGACCTTGTGATTGTGTGAGTTGATACTTTATTTTATATATATACACACGAAGGCAACCACAAGGCCTCCGAGTAGAAAACTGTTTCTTCGTTTGTTTTGTGCAGAATTTTCCATTTTGTTTTTTACTGCAACCTATAAGAAGGGGTTCATTTTACACTGAGACCTAGCACACACTCATATATAACTGAAATAAATGTTTCATGAACCCATACTTATTTCTACTATGTGTATTAGTTATTATTGTTGTATAACAAGTTAGCCCCAAATTTACCAACTTAAAACAATTATTCTCTCAGAGCTTCTGTGAGTCAGAAACTTGAAGCAGATTAGCTGGGTAGTTCTGATACAGGTCTGTTAGGGGGTTGTAGTTAAGATGTCAGCTGGAGCTGCTTCCAAGATGCCTAAAGCATATGACTGTTGGCAAGAGGTCTTAGTTTCTCACCACGTGGGCTCCTTCATAGGGTTGCTTTAGTTTCCTACAACGTGGCAGTTGGGTTTCCCCAGAATAATTCAACTGAGAAAGAGCAATAAAAAAGCCACAGTCAATAGCTCTTTTTGTCCTAATATTTCAGATATCTTCACTTCTGCCAATTCTATTCATTAAAAGTGATCATCATAATACTATTTAGGGAAAAGAAAATGCACTCTACTAAAACTTTCAAATTTTCAACCTCCCTGACACCTGAGGACAGCCATGTGATACAGTTCTGGCAATAAGCTGTAATCAGACATCTATAGGAAGGTCATGTCTTCCGGAATAGAAAGGCAAAACTTTTTTAAAAAAAACCCTTATTCTCACTTTTCTCTTTCTTGGAATGGAGAGTGGAGACCTGGAGATGCAAGCCATCTTACAAACATATGTCAATATAAAACTTACAAGTCCAGGATGGAGGCCTGGAAGCCGTATATCTGATGGTATTCTTGGGCTGCTCTTTTCTTCACTTTTTGTTGAGACAAATTACCCGAGTTTAAAAAAAAAAAAAAGAAAAAAAGTAATGAGTCACTAAGTACAGCCACACTTAAGGGGAAAGGAAATGAGTTTATATTATTTGAAGGGAGGGGTATCAAAGAATTTATATCTATCAAACTGTGTATGGTGAAATCTGATATGATTTATTCTGTCCTATACCACTTCAGTTTGTTTTAAATGTTGGCTATAAACCATTACACTAAATTCATGACTTACCATTGGTTTTAACCCATAATATAAAATCACTCTATTGACAAAACTGCAGGGAAACAATCACACTCATAACTTAATGGTGGAAGTGAAAATGGTACAACCTATAGAGAAGGTAATGTGGCAATTTGTATTAAATTATAAATGTATTTAGCCTTTGAACCATCACTCCTATCCAGGCATCCCCAAACTACGGTCCCGCAGGCCGCATGAGGCCCCCTGAGGCCATTTATCCGGCCCCCGGCCGCACTTCAGGAAGGGGTACCTCTTTCATTGGTGGTCAGTGAGAGGAGCACAGTATGTGGCGGCCCTCCAACGGTCGGAGGGACAGTGAACTGGCCCCCTGTGTAAAAAGTTTGGGGACGCCTGCTCCTATCTCTCAGCATTTTTACTATTTTACTATTTAGTATAACTCCCAAGTAAGACAAAGAGACACACTTTGTCTTAATTGGGAGTAATAGTAAATAGTTATATAGTAATATTTCATACAGTGAAATCTCAATGTATGTTTTATATATAATTTTGATTTATTGACCCAACGATATCAAAACATATGGAAAATCAAAAATGTTTGAAAAGTTTTTTTAAAAAAGCAGCCTGTGGCCCTCCTCGTAATGGGTGTGGTCACAGTCTTTTATGGTTCTGAGATGGAGTAATGATTTTTTTGTGTTTAGAGAGGGGCTCTAAGGTGGTCATTTGAGCTGGGTCCTCTTGGACTGCAGTGGAGATAATTTTGCAGCAATCCATGGATATAGGGCCAAAGCCAGACTGATGGATGTCTTGGCAGATGCCAGGATGAATGGATGACAACTGAGGACTTATGGTTCACCAATGCATTGGCACTAACCAGCCCCTAGAACCTAGATGCTGTCTTAAATTTTGCCATCTGGCAGAATAAGATACTGAGTTGCAAAAAAATAATGACTTTCTTTCTTACACCACTAAAAGTGTAGCCTAGGATTTAGATCAGTTGTAAAAGTACAGGCAATTATTTTGATGAGTTGGCTGAAGGGAAGGAGCTGAGGGAGAGAAAAGGAGGGAAGAATAGGAACTTTTCCTCTCAAGTGAGAGATTAGAGCATAATTAAGTGCTCATGGCAGGGATATGGTTTAGTGGGAAGGCTAAGGATACCAGGAAACAGAAATAATAGATAGCATGAGATTCTGAGGCTGGAGAAGGGACCACCTTCTTTATTTTAAATGGATAATAGAGCTGAGAACTAGTACAAATCCAGTTTAGTTAGGTTTGGTGGCTAAAATAAGAAGAAATATGTATCTAATGGCTTCTACTTTCTTGGAGAAGTAGCACCAAAAGTCGTATTTCAAGAGGTTAGGTTGGTTAAATGTTTCAGTGGAGAAAGTCTGAAGGGTCACAAAAGTGGGCAGAAGAAGTGAGTTGACAAGTGAAAATGTTCAGATTGCCAGCAGGGTGGCAGGGCCAGGTAAGGCTGTGGATTCTAAGTGCAGGGGGTACAAATTGATCTGACTCTATACTTTTTTTTTTTTCCAGTAGTGCTCAGATGTGCTGGAGCAGGAATGAGGAAGATGGATGACTGGGGTTATCCTGAGTTGGAATTATTCCAGAAAATAACAGCTCTGAACCTCTTCATATATATATATATGTATATATATTTAACACACATAAATAGTTGTTTTCCAAATTAAAAAAAAAAAAACTTTCCTTTAAATTGTATGCTGTTTTTCCATCCGTTTGATAGTTGTCTTTATCTTCCTTGGCTCTTTTCCAGGTTTCTCACTGTCTTTTTCAAAAGAGAGAGGCAGTACAGTATAGCGGTTAAGAGAGGACTTTCGGCACCAGTCTGCCAGGTACAAATCTCATGTTTAGCACTTACTAGCTGTGTGATCACTTAACACCTCTGTGCCTTGGTTTTCTCATCTGCAAAATGGGGACAGTGATAATATAGCATGCCTTCATAAGAATGCTCTGAGGATATATGAGCTAATGTACCTACTATACAGAGTATTACTTGTTGCTGTTATTATTTTCACCCAAATGAAATAGCCAAACTGGGAGCAGAATAAGACATGAAGGATTACCTTCTGGCTTTTACATAGTACTCAATATTTAATCCATTTCAATATTTCATAGCTTCTATTTCTCTTTTCCCCACAAAGTCACTATAATTGCATACTCACAGTAAGCATGAGGAAACGAAGTCTTAGACTATTTTGAGAATCATTCCTTCTTCATCTTTTGAGGTGTTGTTTAAGTACTTACACTGGGTCAAACGGGTTGCTGATCTATACCTGCATATCTCTTGCTTCCAAATTCATCTCTTTTCTTTGACAGCCTCTTCTGAAAATGCTACACTTTTTCTTCTCCACAAGTAAACTGGTTATGGCTGATTGTTCTCACAAAGCCTCAATGTCCTTGCTGAGGCTGTAAGCCCGCTGCAGATGAGTATTGTGGCTTCTACTTTTTAGTAGCCTTAGTACCTAGGAAGTTGCCCTTATAAAAAGTAGAAAACAAAAATGGTAGATGATGGTCATGCTGATGATAATGGTAACAGTACCGTAACTGATCATTCTTGGTTTCCTTACCTGTAGACTTCTGTGGGGATAGAAAGAAACAAACATGGGGCTTTGAGGCCAAACAGATTATAGTTCAAACCCCAGTTCTACCACTAAATAGTTGGAGAGCCTTGGATTAAAAACAAACAATTTGCAGCATTGTAAATTGTTCAGTAATTTATGAACAACTTTCTCTTTTTCCCCTCCAATTCTTGCCTACCATGACTCTTAAGAGCCACTAACAGAATGGTCTCTTTCACAAGCTATGCCTTTCCTAAAACTTCCTACCACTGAAGAGGTAGGGCTGGAATTCCTTTTCTTCCTTAAAGTCCTTCGTGCCATCACCTTGTCACTTTCAATCTCTCAGATTTTCCCTTCACTCACCAGGTAGGTTTATTCTATATCACATTTATTTTCCAATTCCTTTCTTCAATTCTTCTTCTCAGGCAACACACTATTTTGCAACATGCTCACCTCCTTACTCTAGATCTCTCTCTTTCTGCCCTTTATTCACAAGTGTAATTCCTATTCTATGATGTCTTTTATAATTGGAAGACTTTATCATTTCTCTCTAAATCCCAAAAGTGACTCGGTGCCAAAAAATACACAATGTTTTTTTGGCTTTAACAGGCAAATACTGCAGATACTTGTTCTTGTTAGTCCAGCTGCATAAAGTCTATATATGCTTTATAAAGTAAGGGCTAGAGAGGAGAGATTATTTCACCTACTTTGTACTACATTGAGTGTAGCAAAATACATACAATTTATAAACTTCTGATTTGTGATGATACCCTGAGAAGCAGAAAAAATTAAAACATTTTTAGCTTTGACATGAATCATGTATTTCTACCTTTGATTACAAAATAATGACATGTACCCACTTGTCAAACAAAGAAATACTAAAAAATATATTTAAATACTTTACAAGAAGAAAACACTGGCTATTTCATATTGAAATCCTGGAATGACAGCTGTCTTTTCACATCAACTGTAAATAACTTGTTCAATTAAGGCTGTGAAATATTGAAGAAAAGAGGGGCAGGATGAAGGGAAAGAAATAGGAAAAAATAACATTTAAAAAAATTCTGAGTAAATGATTCTTTGTGTAGTCATATTTAATATGAGAAAGGTCACATACACAAATCCTGAATTATGCTTTTGAATTATTGTAAAAAACCCACCTTTTCTGATAAGATAGAAATTTTAAAAGCATAATTGATTTGTAAATTTCTGAAGATATTTTCAGTTTGCTTGAAGTTCTTTTCCAACTTTAGGCCTGTGTTTTAATACTCTGTTATGCATAGTCCCACACCTACTACATTATCTTAGACAAGTCATAGCTATAAGGCAACCATCAGCTATTTTAAAGAACACAAAATATACCAAATTTCTAAAAGTAGATTAGGATCTTCTTGGAAAAGTCTATGTTCATTACAAGAGGTTGCTTCTCAAAATATTTTTAGAATTCCTCTTTGGAACCATTTTCAGTTGGCTAAAACCACATAGGAAAGCCAATTTTGTTGCTTTATAGAGGTCTCATTTAAAAAATAATAATAATTTAAATAAAGTGTCATCACTCACCTTATTCAATCAACTTGACTTCAAGTTATATTTTTGGCTGTATTCAAAAATCATATTTACCTCAAAATTCAAATATTTTCTACAATGAACATTTTTTTTAAATGTGAAAGTCTTCTGAGAGCAACATCCCAAAATTCATCAGAAATAAAAGTAGCAGGTTAGAGTAAGGATAAAGCTTCAAAGTTTTCCAGTGCAGATCATTTTGGGGGTATGATGCGGGTGGAAGGAATGTTAATTTTACATATAATCTTGGAAAACATTTGAAAGACACATTTCTTTATGTTCATATTTCTCTATTTGCCCTTCAGATGGTTGAATTTTACCTAATAACAGCCACCTTTTCAAAATCCTAAAATGATTTTAAATGGGTTATGAATTTAAAATTTCCCACAAAGGTTATCAGGGAGTGGGGTGAGGAAGTGCAGCAATGTGTGTTGGGATAAGACTTTTCCACTCCCAGTCTAAGCACCCAAAGCACGTCAGAAACACAAGCTCTAGAATCTAAAATTTTGCTGGATGATAGTGATTTAGAGGGGCTTTCAAACAGCTCTTAGGGTTTCCATTCATTCCTGATACTCTATGTAGCTGAACAATACTAGTTGCATTCAATATTTTGTTTCACAGAGTGGTCCTATAACATAAGGTTTTCAGTGATTGTGAACGTTATGTCATTTTTGGCACTTACAGTTCACAATGTTTGGTTATGTGGTTTAAGATTGTTTTAATTTTTGCATTTTACATTACTTCTGGCACTTTTGAAGAAAGGGACATTGTCTTTTATGCTGTGTTGGGGGAAAGTGGTAAGCCTCCCCCAGTCTCTAGCTTTAAATGTTTGGCTTTATGAAATCCACGATTCTCCCCAGAATCCTCTAACATTAAATGACTTGAGTGGAAATTTGCTTTCATAAACTGGCCTTCCCAACTGCCTTAGAGGCTGGTATCCCCACCTTCAGATTTAGGCTGTTTGGCCACTGCAGTCACAGGCTCTGGTGGTCCCTCTCCGCAGAAAAGTACAACTGGATTTTTGCGGGCCCACATGGCCATGTCCCCTCCCACCCCGCTGGCCGGGGTGGAAGAGGACATCCTGCTGCAGGCCCCCAGCCGGTTGGCATAGCGGTTTCGAAGGCGATTGCGGCTTCTGGCTTGCAGACCCGGACCCTGGCTAGACAGGAAAGCGTCCACATTCCTAGTCCGGTAGCCCTCCTCGCGGTTGCGCCCTAGGAGCATCGAAATATTGGGGTTGCGGATGGCGTAGATGACAGGATTGATGGCCCCATTGGCCCAGGTCAGCCAGACGGCTACCACGTTGAGGAGCGAGGGGGCCTGCGCGGCCTGGGCCTGCCGGGCGGCGGCCAGCAGCACTAGGAAGCAGTAGGGCCCCCAGCAGCAGATGACGAAGACGATCATGATGAGCACAGTGGTGGCCGTGCGCACCTCGCTGAAGAAGCGCAGCACGCGCGCGTAGGTGGTCACAGGCCGCACACGCACGTCCGACAGGCGCACCGTCTTGCAGATGTGGTAGTGGCAGAAGCACATGAGCAGGAAGGGTAGCAGGTAGCAGGCCATCACCAGCCCCACACTGTAGGCCGCGCCCAGCTGTGTGGGGTCGGGGGAGGTCCGGTAGAGGCAGCCGTGGAAGCTCTGCGCCGCCGCGAGTTCCCGGGGCGCCCCGAGCAGCTCCCAGGGTAAGGAAAAGCCCAGGGCCGCCAGCCAGGCGCCCGCCAGCAGCTGCAGCGCGCGGCGGCGGCCGATCTTCTCCCGCGGCGGCCGCACGATGGCGCAGTAGCGGTCCAGTGAGATGAGCGCCACGCTGAACGTGGACACGATGCCGAGGCACGAGCTGAAGAAGCGGCTGGCTGCGCAGAAGCCGCGCCAGGGCCCCGCGGCGGCGGCAGGCGCCGAGCCCCCGGGCGGCGTGAAGAGGTCCAGGAAGGCGGCGGGCAGGCAGAGCAGCGCCGTGAGCAGATCCGACAGGGACAGCGACAGGATGAAGGCGTTGGTGACGGTGCGGAGCTGCCGGTGCTTTACGATGACGCTCATCACCGCGCAGTTGCCCAGGCTAGACAGCAGGAAGATGAGCAGGAGGACGAGCGCCTGGGCCGCCACCGCCGCCCCGTGCGACAGCAGCGGCGCCGCCTCCGAGCCCAGCGGCGGCCTCACCGCCGCCCCAGCCTCCCGCGCCGCCCCGGACCCGCCGAGGCCGCCGCCAGCGGGACCGGCAGCGGTGCCGCCCCCGCTGGCGTCGCTCAGGTTCCCCAGCCCCGCGGCCCCCGCGGCCGCCACGGTGCTGAAGGAGAGCACGGCCGCTGTCGCCGCGGAGGAAGTCCCGCCAGGCGAGCCGGCCGCTGAGGGGGCGCCGGGGTGCGGGCTGCCCAGTAAGGCCATGCTCGCTGGTGGACGGGCCGGCGGCGGCGGCTGCTCCATGGGGCCCTGTGGCGGCCGCGGATCTGCTCATCCCGTACCGGGGGTGGCGGCAGCTCAGCCGGAGAGCTGGCTCGGGGCCGGGGGTGAGCGGCCGCTGCGGGGAGCCGGGCTCGGCCGGAGGCGTGGCGGCAGCCCGGGACCCGGCGGAACCTTTGACGTGGGTTCCAGCGTTGCCAAGGGAACCGCGTGTTTACGCAGGAGCGCGGGGCGGGACGTCAGCCCAGTACCCTCCGCAAAGGCGAGACACACTCTTCCGGGGTTGACCGGCCTCGGGCTTCGGGTTTCGGGGAGTGCCAGGTCGACCTCCTCAGGGACCACTGTCCGGCCAGATAAACAGGACCGGCATGCAAACAAATGACCAGATTCAACGAAGTTCATTCACTCTTTCTCTCTTTTGTAAGGTACAAATGTTCTACAGCCAGGCCTTTTGGGGAGCAGGGGGCACTTTGCTCCCTGTGGGTGCTTTTGAAGTTTACGGGTAGGAAAGGAATCTAGAACCTGAAGTGAAGGAAAAATCCAGACGTCTACATCCAGACATCTTAAACTTGACAGTTAGACTAATTTAAACCAATAGTTCTCAAACTTGAGCTAACGGAATTCACAGAGGGCGTGTTAAAATACAAGTGAGGAGGTCTCAAGCCCAGTGTTTCGGATACCTCTGGGGAAATGCCCAAGAATTTGTATCTGTAACGGGTTCGCTGGTGGTGATGATGATGCTGGTCCCAGGACCACACTTTGAGAACCACTGATGTCAAGAGCTTCATAAAATGCAGATTCTCTGGCTGACACTCAGTACCTGAGGATGGGCCCATGACCCTAAACCCCGTAGGTGACGTTGATACAGGTGCTCTGAGGAGCTAGGATATGAATCTTCTTTAGATGTTACCTCATTTCCAAGGGCCTGGACCTCAGGCCCCTACCGGCTGATAAATGTGGGGAGAGGGATTGGTGCCTTGCTCTGCTGGCAGCCTTCATCTGTTCTCAGGAATGGGGTGTGTTTTGAGTCTAAAGTGCTGCCAGCCTGGCAATTACCACAGATGCAGCTCCAGCTATCTGGCTGGGAGACACAGGAAAAAGAAAGGCACGGCTGCCTAGGGAAGTTGCATCTCAAGTTTCTGGGGATGGCCTCTCATGGGGAAAAGTGTGATAAAGGCTCAGGTTAACTAACCCTGGACTCTTCTCTAAAGCAGTGGTTCACAGAGTATGGACATTGGACCATCAGCAGCAACATCCCCTGAAAACCTTGAGAGATACAAATTATCAGGCCTGCAGTGCATAGGATACTCCTGATCTACTGAAACTCCTGTGGTGGGGCCCAGGCTCCTATGTTTTAACAATCCCTCTTGGTGATTCTGATGCACAAATTTGAGAAACACTGCTCTAAAGAATGACAATACATTTATAGGTCTTAGAATCAATGATATTAGTACTTGGAGTGCTTATTTCATTCAGAAAAAAAAAAAAAACAAACCCTACAGGAAATTTACAGTATAAATAGAAGAACGTTTAAGGTGGCAAACCAAAACTGGGTTTCTCAGCCTCAGTATCATGGACTTTTTGGGCTAGATAATTCTTCGTTGCAAGGGCCACCTATGCATTGTAGGATGTTCAGCAGCATCCCTAGCCTCTACCTAAGAGATGCCAATAGCACCTCTCCCAGCTGTGACAACTAAAAATGTCTCCAGATATTGCCAAATGTCCTCTTGGTAGCCATCAACCCCAGCTCTTAATCTAGACTGATTTTGCCTTAATTTTGTCAATCAAGACAAAAAATATAATTATCATGCATTAATTTATTTAGCAAACACTATCTTCTAAGATTGTGCTTAGTTTTAGGAAACAGCAAATAAGATATGAAACCCAGCCCAAATAAGCTTACAGCCATAGGCAAACACAGTATATTACAGCATGCTTAATACTGTCTTAAAAATGTGAATGAAATTATTTGGAGGTGACTAACTCTTTCTGATGAAGGCTTTGTACAAGAGGTGACATTAGACTTTCCTAAAAAAGAAGAAAGGGGAAGAACCATGTTGAAGTGAGCAGTGTCTGAATTCCAGGATACTGGGGATGGGGAGTGAAAATGGAAATAAATGACCAAAGTTTACTGGGGCCACCTTATGATTGGCCTTGTAGGCCATGCTCTGGAGACTGAAAGTCATTAGAGGAGGAGGGGCTAATAGCACAAGGGAGGGCCATGAGCAAGTGCATGGTACAGCAGGACCAAAAGGACTGCACTCGCCTGGATCCTTCCTTCCTCATCTTTCTGAGTGTCCTCTTTCTCTGCCAGTTTACCCTCTTCCACCTGCCTTTACATGCTGGAGTTCATCAAAGCCCTATTCTTAGCTCCTCTGGACTCCCCCCTTCAGCCCCATCTCACTTGCATCCAGGACTTCAAAGATTATCTATATATTCATTACTCAAATTGTCTGTGGCACCAACCTACATGTCCTGATAGTTGGCATCTCTCCTTGATGTGCTGGTTGTGCATCAAATGGATTCATGATCCTCCTCCTACTTTCTGTGAAAAACTCGGTCCTCAATACTCTGTATCTCAGAATATGGTAGAACCATTCCTCTAGCTTATAAGCCAAAAGCTTAAGAGTTTTTATAAATCCCTCTTCCTTGCCACCAGTCCACATCCAGTTCATCAACCACATCCTACGGATTTTAGTTGCAGACTATCTTTGCATCCATTCACTCCTTCATCCTGAATCTTGGCTCTCATCCTCTCATTGGACTATTGTTGTCACTGTTGTCCTAACTGGTCTTCCCACATCCAGTCCCTACACTGGAGGCAGATAGGCATAATGCTCTTAAACACACACACACAAATTTCTTCATGCCACTTACTTAATTCAACTCCTCTAGTTAGGCTGGTGTAGTGGTGTGTGCCTATAGTCCCAGGTACTTAGGAGGCTGAGGAGGGAGGATCGTTTGAGCCCAGCAGTTAGAGGCCAGCCTGGGCAACATAGTGAGATCATATCTCTTTTAAAAAATCCTATTGGCTTTCACCATTTATTTTAGAATAAGGACCCCAATCCTTAATATTTCCTAAAAGGCACTGCATGATTTGACCCCTGCTAGTCTCATTTGAGACCACTTTCCATCTTTTTTGCTGTGTTCCCACCCCTCTAGGCTTTTATGACTTCTTTAAACCTTTCATCTTAGGGCGTTTGCACTTACTATCCCCTCTGCCTGGAAAGCTCCATCTTCCTCCTCCCTTCCTTAGCATCCTCATCTTTGCATTAAGGTTAGTCCACAGGGGGAAGCCTTCCTTGATTGATACCCTCTTCTCACATATTGGACCATGTTCCCTTGTTAGTTTCATAGCACTCTGTATTTTCCATTGTGGCACATTACCTTGGTCTATAATTTTTTTGTGTGTGATTATCTAAGTATTATCTGCCTCCCACTGTATACTATATGAGGACCTAAATCTTGCCTGTTTATTTTATGAGATCCTTGGCACTTAGCACTCTAGCAAACTGCTATACAAATGCCCACATACAAAAAAATATTTTTTGAGTGACTGTAAGAGGAGAATCTGGAAGTTGGGAGACCAGTTAAGGAAAGGCATTGTAATAGACCAGGTGAAAAATGAGAGTCTGAAGTGGACCTTTGCAGTGAAGAAGGAGAGGTCGAGTATAGATTATGGTAGGTAGTATATAGATTAGGATTCTTTGGGCATAAGTAACGCAGAGAGGACACTTGTTCACATAACAAATATACAAATTTACTGGAAGGACAGGGGAAGTTCCGTTTACAAAATGACGGTTTAACAGACAGCTCCAAAAAGAGAAGTCAGAGAAGTCCTGTGGGTAGAGAGAGCAGAAACTGATGGAGTGATCTCTTTAGGCCACCATTGGAATAGATCAGCTTCAGTTTTCAGACCTTATGCTGTTTCTCAAGATCTCAGTGTGGGGGAGAAAGTCTGACTCAGGTACCGGTCTCCTGGCAGTCCTAGCAAGACTACATGAAGGTAGTTTCCCAAAGAAAAAGGAGAGTGTTGTTGATAAAAGAAGGGGAAAGGCATAATAGCTGGAGAAATCCACCGTTATCCACCTTGGGAGCATCAGCAGAGAGGAATGGAAGCCAAGGGTCAATCCCAAGTCCCTAGCTTGGTGGACGGTGGTGTTAGTCAAGTTAGGGAATATGGGAAGAGGGGCACAATCAAGGGGGAAAATGAGCTTGGTTTGTCCTCTAAGTAATGAATCTACAGTATAGCCTTAGACCTTGGAATTTGGGGATGTGGATGTGGTTAGCCTCTCTACAAGAGGGAAAACCATGGGAATCAACGTGATAATTTAAGGACACAGTAGTCAGGGAAGAAAGAAAAGGATCATGGATGGAATGCTAGGGAGTAGTAAAAGTTAAGAAGCAGATAAACAAAGCAAACCTAGGCAGGTGAATGATACAGTTAATGAGGCACATTGGCCTATTGAGAAATCAGCTGTTTTATGTTTTTGGTTTTCTGAAAAGGTGTGGCAGTTTTCCCAGCCTCTTATGGAGAATGTATTTGTGATCTTGTGGTCAGTGCTATCCTTTACATACTGGTGGAGAGCTAAAACAGGCTTTCGTGTGTTTCAGAGCTTAGAGGAGAAGTTCACAGGTTGAGGAGACTCACCTGTAAAGCCTGGGCCCAAACTGGTAACTAAAGTAGGCATGTCCAGAAGTTTTGCCACTCACAGTACTACAACCAGCAGCATTAGCATCACCTTAGATCTTGTTAGAAATGCCCACCCCATGTCTGATGAATGAGAATCTGCATTTTAAGATTTCCAGGTGATTCACATGCACAATGAAGTATGAAGAACAGTGTCCTAAAGTGGGATAGTATGGAATTTGTGGCTTTCAGGGTTGAAGAGAAGGGTGACCTAATTCTCATTGTGTCTGGAGGACTTGGAGCAAAGCGCAGTGTGAGTTCATGATGAAGAGGAGATTGGCCTGGGCCCATACAATTGCAGCACTTTGGTGGGCACTAATGCGTACTGAGTACTAACTTCCTAAGCCTAACTTAGTGGTTCTGTGGCTGAGCTCAGCATCAAGGGACTAGAGTTGCTTGTTCTAAAATGGACCACACCTGCCTTCAGGGAGCAAGCAGCAGGGGCCACCATGGATTACATAAACCATTAGATCTGGCAATTAGGTAAGGTTTCTAATTGATGAGTAATGGGGTAGAAGCAAGATTGTAATAGTTTGATAGCAAATGGACGAGAAAATGTACCCAATGAGCAGACAGTAAGGAATTTAGAAGTTTAAATGCCAAGGGAAAGAGTTAGCAGTGACAGCTATCTACAGAGGGAAGGAGGGACAGGGATGTTTGATTTACTTTGTTTACAATTAGCACATTTAAATACTTAGGGGAAGGAACCAGTGATGGGGCAGCAGGATATTGGAGACACCTGAAAGAGGTTAATTGCTAAGGCAAGATCCTCACTGAGATGGGAAGGGATAGATATGAGCAGTACTTACACAGCAGAATCAACAAGGCTTTGCAACTAACCAGATGTGGAGGTCAGAGGTGAAGGAGTTGATTTCCCTAGTGTTTTTGACTCCATGGGAACCACGGTGAAGTGTAGCAGGAATGAACACTACTGCAAAGGTTCAGCTCTGGTTTGGATGGAAATTTAGGAGACTTAGGTAATATCTATTTTTTAGTGTTCAAGAAATACAACATTCTTGTTAAAGTACTATATCCTAGACCAAGTTATGGCCATCCTATCTTAGAAATGGAGGAAGTGTTGTAGGAAAATCCTAGACTGGGAGTCCGAACTTCTAGATTTGCAGCCTCTAAATGACCTTAGGAGAGTTAGTTAACATGTTCAACTTGCATCTCCCTTAAGTGTATAAATGGGATAAAAACAGTGGCATATCACGGGTAGGGCAGGAAGAGTAGTTTTCCACGGTGCAGTTGAAAAAGGTGTGTGCTGTCTGTAGAGAATTTTAGAACAATAATAAAACCAACTAAAAGTCTTTTTAAAAATTATCACTAAGTGCTGACAATTCTAAACAAGGTCAGGGAGTAAAAACATCCTCTACCTTGCTGGGTGCGGTGGCTCACGCCTGTAATCCCAACACTTTGGGAGGCCGAGGCGGGTGGATCACGAGGTCAAGAGATCGAGACCATAATGGTCAACAAGGTGAAACCCCGTCTCTACTAAAAATACAAAAATTAGCTGGGTATGGTAGTGCGTGCCTGTAGTCCCAGCTACTAGGGAGGCTGAGGCAGGAGAATTGCTTGAACTCAGGAGGCAGAGGTTGCGGTGAGCCGAGATTGCGCCATTGCACTCCAGCCTGGGTAACAAGAGTGAAACTCTGTCTCAAAAAAAAAAAAAAAAAATCCTCTAGCTTGGTGGCAGTGGAATCATAATATGCATTTCCTAGTGTACTTCATTATGTACCTGACAGATTATAAAATGCTACAAAATGTAATTTTTAAACAATTTTCTTTCAAATTCATGTGACTTGTGAGCTTTGGAGGGAAAATAGTGGTTCCATTTTTATTTTTATTTTTTTAAGTATAATGATGTGATCTGCAAAAATTATTTGGTCATATTGAGTTAGTGATAACGACTTTTTTTTTGAGGCAAGTGATTTATTTGCTACAGAATTCTATGGCGAATGAGAGGAAAAAAAAATCCTGTTTTTGTGTAATAGAGAAATAAAAAACATTGACATTACAGCTTTCGTTTTGGTTAGGTAATTAAATCACAGACTAATGATAAGGCCAATACAGACTCTCTGGGTGATAAGGCCAATTAATCAGTTTCTGGATGCTCCAAAATAAAATACTATTACCCATCTCACAAAAGTCTACTGAATTCTCTGAGAGTGTCACATCTTGGAATATTTTAATGCTTCACCTATTTTTAAGAGGCTCATAGATAAGTATTAACTAGCAGGAATGCCATTAGTATTTATTTCATGTTTTAAATCTACCTGGCATGCAGTTGATAAAGTATGAGACTTATTCCATTGTACAGATTCACTGATTAATTTCTACTGTATTCCTGTATTTTAATAATGTAATAAGGAACCCCTTTTATGAAAACCCTGAAGATATAGCAAAAGTCTGATTACTAATTGGTCTTCTCAGCATCAATCTCTGATACTTCAGTGCCTGTGGGTGTAGAAGCTGAGCTTTGAGCCACAGAGAATACCCTAGCAGCAGCTATAACAAAGAAGCTGACTCCAACCCAACCTTTCCCAGGCTATTATGCTAAGTATTGAGCACTTTATAATAACCCATCTCATTTATATGCTGCTTACAGAGAGGGCATTATTTTACTCAAAAGATGGAAGACAAAAATAATAAGCTTGGAAAGTTCATTGCTGAATTTCACATATTATTCAAAGAGCCTTTAAAACAAATATGATATTAGTAGTAATTACTATAAAGCAATATTTTAAAAGTAACAACTGTTTTAATTTTATCTGATAGGTTAATCACTAGAAAAAGACTCTAAATTTCTGTCATTTTGTATGCTAGACATAAGTGATATTTATACCAAAATACAGTTGCAAATATGAGGTATAATGACTTTATATTTAGCCACAGTATTATTTTAGAAAAAAATGAAAGTTAGCTTATACGTATAATTTGAATATTGGTTTCCACATAATTTAGAGAAAAAATTACTTATGGATAATGATTAAGAAGAAAGCCCTTACAATCATGGAAGAAGTCACTTGAGAAGAAATCCATCCTTCAGTGGGTCATCATCTTCTACTGTAAAGCTTGCTGTACCTGTGTAATGGGCTTGTCCTGATACTTCTACTATAACAGCTTTAAAATCACCACATTTCGCTTCCTGAAAAAAAAGATTAAAGGAGTACACTATCAAAATATTGCACTCATATTGTATCTGGCTTGAAAATTGTACTCTTGACTTTTATCATGTTAAGAAAAGGCCAAGAATTAATCCTACAGGCAAGGGAAGGTTTTTAAGGAGAGTGACATGGTCAGACTTGTGTTTTAGGTAACTGTAGCTGTAAAATGGGGGTCAATCTGGAGAAGAGAGAGACAAGAGACCCAGAAACATGTTAAGATCTAATCTCAATTCACTGAATGATTCCAGAGTCACTAGGGTAGTTTTCAGGGAAGACGGAGAAGAATATATACTAACATAGAGATAGTTTGGAGGTAGAACTGATAGGTCTCTTGACCAATGCATGTGGGAACTGAGGAATAGCAATAAGTTAATTCAAACCATAGTTTCTAGCTTGGAAATGATGCTTGTGATGCCATTAACCGCAATGGGGAGAGAAAGGAAGAGCACATTTTAGAAAAAGAGAAAGGAAGAACTTTTTAACAAGGCGAGTTTGAGACACCTCTGGGACAATCATTTAGAGATGAGTATAGTGAACAGTTGGGATTAAGAGCATTAGATTCAGAAAGACACACAGGGTAGGTAGGCCTGGTAGGGATAAAGGTTTGGGAGTCATCATCAGTAGGTGGTTGAGAACTGATGCCTAGGAAGTGGACGAAATTGCTCAGCAGCATCAAGTTGTAGATGAGATGAGAAGGAAGCTGAGGATGAAGTGATGAAGACATCTAAGTGGAAGGACAGGGAAAGGAAGCTGGGGTAGGGGAAGAAACTGAGAAGGTACCATCAGGGAGCCTGGATGAGCCCAGACAGACAGGGAGAGAGCAAGACGCAAGTGAAGACATTCTGGCAAGCATGATTAATAATTATAAAACAAATAACTGGAAACCTTAACTTCAGCATATCCTTTTATGTTCTAATTTTTGACAAGAATAACTGAAGCTAAAGGTAAAATATCAAATATTGTTAGGGTATAATAGTTTATCTTTTTATAAATTTTCTGTAGTGTGATGGGTCCTTCACCAGGTTACATGAAGGTATGTGTCCACTGCTTGAACCCTATGGGCTGGGGGATAAGCCAAGGGTACCCAGCCAAAGAGCTGGTATCCCTGAGAACCAAAAATCCCAGAGAATATCTGGGAACATACCAAGGAAAACAGTCCTGTCACACATACACAGTAAGCAAAGAGCCAGAAAATTAGCTTAAAAGCAGCTTAGAGACAGGAGGCAGGATAGGTCTCCACAGTTGTCTAGCTGCTGCCCAGGAGTGCCTTGTATGTGAGTCCTAATAAATACATCTACTTGCCAACCTGGACTTGTTTGAGTCATTCTTTGGTTTATGGGCTCCTTCTCTATTTGGGGGGACATTACAGTCCCAGATTCTTCTCATAACAGCTCCTATAATATTAAAGCCTCATTGACCTTTGCTTTGTTTGATAGCAACATAATGTAGTGCTTAACAGCATGTGGTCTGTTCAGAGAGACCCATGTTCATGACCTCAATCTGCTACTCATTGACTAACCACCAGCAAATTACCTAACTTCTCCAATCCTCCATTTTATCATCTACTAAAAAAGGATAATAACAATACAGTACTGACCTTGTAGGATTCTTGTGAGGATTAAATGAGATGACATGTATCAAGTGCTTAGCTTGGAAACTGATGGACAGTGAAGTATCCAATACATGTATGTTATTATTTTTATGTTACTTTCAGATTCTGAAGAAAATGTGTTCTGAATTTTTGCATACAACATAAATGGTTTCACACGTTTAAGATCATCACGTGTTGCACAGATTCTTAAAGAAATTCTAATATTCAGAAACACCGTATCTTAAAGACAGCTATATTAGGATAGATTGTTTGCTATGTTAAAGGACTGTTTATGAGTAGATTCATTTGCTAAATGTAGATTAATCACTCTGTAGTAGATTTTATTTACTACTGTGGTAAGATTCATTACTTAGCTCTTAGCATATTTACTTTGATGTTCCACAACTTTTCAGGGCTTTCACATCCTATTATATACAATAAAACACTATTATAAAATAAAACAAAAACAAACAAAAAACCCAAACCTCAATTTAGTGGTTCTCAAACCTTTTGGTCTCAGGACCCTTTTATACCTTAAGATTTGAGGACTCCAAAGAGTTTTTGTTTATATCTATCAATATTTACAGTATTAGGAATTGGATATACCTATTTATTACTGCTTTTAAAAAATCATAAACCCATTATCATTAACATATGAATAATATATTTTTGTGAAAATAACTATGTTTGCCAAAACAAAAAAAAATTATGAGAAACGTGGCATTGTTTGATATTTTTGCAAACCTCTTTTATGTCTGGCTTAATAGAAAGCACCTAGGTTCTCATATCTAGCTTCTGCATTCAATTGGTTGGGTTAGCATAGAACGCATAGCCTCTGAAGAACTACACTGTGCACTCTTGAGAGAATGAGAGTGAAAAGCAAATAGTGTCATTATTGTCAACATAGTTTTGATCTTCTGAACCCATGGAAAGGACCTTAGATCACACTTGAGAATCAATATCCTAGTTGAAAAGAAGTTTTTAAACTCTTTAAAACTCTCTCCTGAGAGCTGAGTGAAGACATTTATCCAACACCTACCTCAGGCCTCTTCAGTCTCATAAATGACACATTTATAAATAAGAAGCTAAGGGTGTCACTTACCCTCACAGCTTTCCCTGTGAATACTGAGCCAGTTGCACTGCTTTTAAAGGCTCTGGTCTGGTTCAGTTCTAGAAGCCCTTTGTGATACTGTAAGGCAATTCGGGCTGTCACTCCTGAGCCAGTGGGACTTCTGTCAACCTGTTTCAGAATAAATGAAGATAAGAATGTTAACAGTGTTTTAGTTCCATATTACCTGGCTTTTGTGCCTACACATAACAGTTTTAATACCTGTTCATCTGCAAAAACACAAATGTTGGTGGTTGGTTCCTTGGTATAAGCATCTTTTCCATCTGTTAATATAGTTCCATATAAAAAGGCAAGGTCTTCACTATCAGGATGATTAATTTTAAACTGCAAATAATAAGAAACGATATGATCAACCACATGCAAAATAAATATTTTGATTCAAATTTATCTTTATAATGTAGATGAGTCATTCTTAGGCATAACTTTTTAATTCTTAACATCTTTAAAATAGATTTTTGGGGCAACATAAATACTAATTGCTAGAAATTATGCCTTTGTCTAGATGAAGAAATATAGTTGTATTGGAAATTATGATTCTTATAATACAAGATATGGAGTCCTTTGTAAGGAAGTTGTCCTGCATATAGCCTTTGCTAAAAGAGCAGCTCTATTTTAGACCCCTCCTACCCCAAATACACATAGTCTTTGAAGCACTAACCCCAGGATGGTCAATCCACAGGCTGGCAATGGCTGCTCGAACAGGATGAGCTAAGGCAATCATAATCTTATTCTCAGGAGCTTCAAAAGGATAATGTGGAAAAATCAGGCTCTGAGCATCTACAGCTGAAGTTAATACCAATGATAGAGACAAAGACTGTGAGAGGACATGAACAAGGAAAAGCTGTAAGAATACAGAAGCTATTAGGTAAGAGAAACAACTGAATGAAAAAAAGATTTATTGACCAGGTGCAGTGACTCACGCCTGTAATCCCAGAACTTTGGGAGGCCAAAGCGGAGCTCAAGACCAGACTGGCTAACATGGTGAAACCCTGTCTCTATTAAAAAATATACAAAAATGAGCCGGGCATGGTGGCTTATGCCTGTAATCCCGGCTACTTGGGTGGCTGAGTTAGAATTGCTTGAACTGGGACCAGGGAGGTGGAAGTTGCCATGAGCCGAGATTGTACCACTGCACTACAGCCTGGGCTACATACAGAGCAAGACTCCATCTCAAAAAAAAAAAAGTTTTATTGTAGATGATGAAGTCAGTTGATTCGTCTAAAAGCAGCAGATATGCACAGAAAGAAGCAGGCACTGGCAGGGACTGCTAAGTCACTCAATGGTACATTCAGGCCCAAATGTGCAGTGCTACTTGTTCTTAAAAGGTCTAGTTCTTTTAACTTTTCCAGGATTTCTGCAACATTTATATTATGACTGAGATTGCTATCATCTTACTTCCCTTGTGTATCCTTACAATTAGTACTTTCTAATTCCACTTACATGTCATTTAAAGCAATGGAACAGCTTTGGGTTCTTAATATCCAGAGTCCATCTGAAACAATGTTAAAAGTGGCCCGCAGATTGAATATTTGTTCTCCATCTTCTTAAAATGATATGCCCTATCTCCACTATAGCACATTCCAACATAATGTTCACAGGTATGCTCACTTCCCTCACTGGAGCTATCTCCTTGAAGGTAGAGTTTGTTCTTTCTTTGAATCTCCAGCATCTAGCATAGTGTCTGACATACATACAGTGTGTTCTTGGTAAATCTTTGTTAAGAGTGAATGAATGAAAATGGTTTTATATTAACTTTAACCCTCCATCCCCATGGCCTTTTCCTAAATCTGCTGCAGCAGTATGAATGGTCAACAGTTCACAAAGTAATTAATTGTACTGTCTGATACATCAATAATAGAACTTGTCCTCATTTTTCTCAGAATCCCTCTGCATGCAAAGTCCACCCCTTGCCACATTGTAGAGTTCAAACTCAAATGAGAAGTTCAAAATTACAACTTTTATTAAGATATCCATGACTTTTTCCCTTGAATTCATTAAAAATCAGGAGAAATTATTTTGTGCCAAACTGTTAACTCAAACTATTAGCTGTCCTGCTTAATGGAGCAGAAAATTGATATAAATTTAGAGCTTCAAAAGTTACTATGATAATGTAATTACACATATTGGTACTGGCAGTACCAGAAACATAATTTAGAATACTGATATAGTATATATTCTCATTTTGTTAAGTTATAAATTATATTAAAACAAAGCCCCAGGACTATTAGATAGGCCCATAATAATTATTAATACATTAAACACTATCTTACATAAGTTACTTTTTACTACTAATAAATTCTCACATACCAAACATTAAAATACTGTACACGTGTTTTATTTATAGGTCCCAATTTCAAAGTAAAATGGCAGACTTGTGAAAGTGAAATAACATTTTAGAATTATTTATTATGTAAACTGACTTTTATCAGAATAGTTTTCCCAAGTAAAAACTAGATTTTAAGTAGTTATTTGAGTAACTTCTTAGCAATATAGGAAAAAAAATCATAAATAGACATTAATGTTCTCTGTGAAATAAGAAAAAGTCTTATCGGGCTTAAATATATTTTATATGCTATATTTTACATTTATTATTTTCAAGTTTTACAAAATGATAATGCACATGCATTTAAAATTTGTGGAATTCTACAAATACATTTCTACACATTTAAGGAACTATAAACTATATGAGTATGTATGTACTATTAAATTTAGTAACTGGTTGTGGTGACTCACACCTGTAATCCCAACACTTTGGGAGGCCGAGGTGGGAGGATCACTTGAGGCCAGGGATTTGAGAACAGCCTGGGCAAGAAGATCCTGTCTCTATATAAACACACACACACTCACACAGAGAATTAGCTGGGTGTGATGGTGCATGCCTATGGTCCAAGCTACTCCAGAGGCTGAGGCAGAAGGATCATTTTGAGCCTGAAAATTCAAGGTTAGAGTAAGCTATGATCACACTACTGCACTACAGCCTAGGTGACAGAGCAAGAATCTGTCTCAGAAAAATAATATTATCATTTACTGAACATTTGCTATTGGCCAGGCACTATTCTAAGTCCTTTACATGTATTGACTTATTTCTTTCTCACAACCCTACAAAGCAGGTATTTTTTCATTTCCATTTTGCAGATAGGAAAACTGAGGCATATGGAGGTTATGTAACTTGTCCACGGTTACATATGTTACTAGTGGTAGAATTCATAGGTAGTTTTGCTCTAGACAGAGGTGTCCAATCTTTTGGCTTCCCTGGGCCACACTGGACGAATTGTCTTGGGCTACACATAAGACACACTAACACTAACAATAACTAATGAGCTTAAAAAAATGCAAAAGAACTCCTAATGTTTTAAGAAAGTTTACAAAATTTGTGTTGGGCCATATTCAAAGCCATCCTGAGCTGCGTGTAGCTCGCAGATCAGGAGTTAGACAAGCTTTCTATAGAGTCTAAGATTTTAATAAGTACCCTATTCTTAGTACTACTAATAATTTAAACATTATTTTCTTTATAGACATAATAATATATATTTCCTCCACGCCACAGAGGAGGGCATTGGTTATGAGGGCAGAATAATACTGACCTGAGCTTTTACTGCCTCTGTCACTCCACTCGCTGCATCCACAACGTCCCTGGTCTTTGCAGAACAAATGTCTAGTCCTAACTTTTCAGCACTCACAAATGCATAAAATGCACCGCCATATGCGATGTCCACCACCACCTTTCCATGTCCAGGAACATCCACCATGAGATCTAAAACAGGATGTGTTTGGAAATAAGATGTGTTTGTTAATAAGTATTTTAGCAATGAAATTTAAAGGATTTTTAATATCCTCATTTTTGAGGAGGGATGTTCTTTTCTTATTATAAAAAAGAATGAAGTAAAAATTCATTTTTTAAAATGAGTAAGCATCAGGTGAATAATAGCTAGATGCATCTTTGTATTTTTAACTTGATGTTTGCAGAAGTTATAAACTGAATGCCATGCCTTCCCCCAACTCATACAGACATATTCATTAACTTCTCTGAGAATCTTTTCTAGGAAACATCACTGAGGCCGAGAGGGGGAAACCCAGGGGCATCCCTGTGAACACCATGAAGGAAGATGTCGATTTCTCACTTGTACTATGAGAGATGGTTTAAAATAGTAAGCATCTTGGATCCTACTTACAAATTAGTTTTCTTCAGCTGTAAGGTCAAAACAAAAATTTTAATAAAATATTTTTCTATATAAATTATATATACTCATCTACCTTTTTCCATCTCATTAACATATCCTGCAGGCAAACACACAGAAAAATGCCATTGTAGAATCACTGACCTCTACAGCATCATTTTGCATCAGGGTTTTTATTTGAGCATTTTAAGTCTCAACATCTCCAAAGTTTCACCTGAAGGTCAGTAGTTTGAAATCTTGAATCTGTATTTCCAAAGAAAGGAGGCTGGGTGATATTTATTTTAGCCCTTCTCAAATTTTCCTCTTCCCTAATTTAAGCTAGCTTGGTGATCACTGCCTTTCTGGGAAGTCTATGGCAGGGGAGAAAGCTGGTCTTTCATGCTTTTATTTTACAGAAGCCTAAGCTCTCAGGGGAAAGATACCTGTTGGCAAAGGAGTGTCCTGAAGGGAGAAATATTTCTCCTAGAGATTATTTTTTTCTGGCTTGAGAAGAGTGGAGGCTGAAGGTCCTTAGTGCAGAGAGGACTTGTGTTAACTTCCCCAGGGCACCACAGGAGCAGCATGTGGAGAAACAGAGGATGGGGAGGCTGTGCAGACAGCAGGGACCATGTAGGGTAGGGCAGCCGATGTTCCTGCTCTGCTTCACTGGTTAACTGTGTAAGCTGAGGACTGACGTGCCATCCTCTCCAAGGCCATGGCACTTTTAAGATACCTTTGCTCACACATGATCAGGAAAGGGGACAACACATGGGGTGATGAGGCTAAGTGAACCAAAAGGACAGAGTAGGGTTTCAATTTCAGAAATTAAGTTTTGAGAAAGAAAATATATCTTGGACTCCTGAGTTTTCATCATCAAAAGAGTAAAATATGCTGTGGATCTTAACAACAAAATTGAATCAAAAATGTCTTTATCTTGATGCTGGCACAACATGAAAAGCAAGTTTAATGACAGGAGAATGAGGAAGTTGATGGAAATGAGGGACTGCTAGAATATGAAACGCTAAGGTGAGGGTGAAGATCAGCATTTACCAGGGGACACCGGTGACAGTCCTAAGGCTCAGTTGGCCTGCACTTTTCTCTTGATTTTAACAATTGAATGGGGCATTGGCTACCAATCCCGGGGCCTGGACAGAGTGGGGATGCTGGTGCAGGAGGAGTCATCACTGAGCCTACAATGGTTTCCCTGGCCCACCCTTTCTAGAATCTTGGGTCTGGTTTTCCTAGGGTGGGCAGTTGGGTAGGGTGCTACACCTGAGTTTCAGTTTCCTTTTCTTTAAAATGGATCAAATTTCCTTTACAGTTACTTTTGTCCATCAATTATCTGTGACTATTTCATTTTTAATCACTAAAGTACTAACATTAAAAATTAAGATATTTCACGAGTACTTCCTATGTGCCAGGTACTTTACATACATAGTCCCTAATTCATTACATTAGTGCCTTAATTACGACAACCCTGAGAAGTAGGTACTGTTTTACTTACTATCTTCACATTATTCCCAGGTTTACCCACCAAGTAAGTGGCAGAGCTTAGGGTCAAACCCAGGATCAGGTGACTCCAAAGCCCAAATCCTTTCTACTAAAATACACAACCACTATGCAGAAATCAAAACCTAAGGGTTTTTCTTTTCTTCTATACAAGCATATCATTGAAATTTCAATTTGATTTACTTTGCTCAAGATTTAGTGAGCACCTACTATGTGCTGATTACTGTAGAAGATATAAGAAGTACAAGGATGAATAAAACATAAGCTTTGCCCTCCTTGGAGTTTTGTTGGACAAGATAGGTTTTAAAATATCCTATATCTGTGAATGAGGTATAATACACTAAGCAGTATTCCAGAAAAATGCAACATATCACCTTAAACTATTAAGAAATTTCAAGGATGAGAGGGAAGCAATATGATAGGTCAGGGTTCCAACCCTAGTTCTTCCATTTAGTGTGGCTTTGGTGTCTTCTTGTGCAAACTGTAACTGCTATTTCTCCTAAAGAGAGTTGTTTTGAAAATTCCATGTGTGGGGAGTTCCTGGCACAGATTGGGGACTCAATAGCCAAAACTTTAATTTCCAATGGGAATAGGTTTCTCAAGAGGACCAGATGTTTACATTTATCAATCAGCATATTTGTCTCCAAATTTCATTTATTTAGTTACTCATTCAACAAACATTCATTGACTACTGCTCTAGGCACTTAGAATACTGTGAACAAGAGTTTGCAGTTTAGCCTGGTTGGGTGGAGATGAGCTCAGCAAGCCTCTGAGGTGGGTACTGTTGTCATCCTCATTTTATAGACTGTGATACTGAGACATGGACTCTCTAGCACAGGTCACTGAGATGTGGAGGGGCGGGGCAGTGACCTTGAACACCATGTCTGCTTTGTACTCATTTTTCAAAGTAGAAAACACAGCATTTCTTTTTCTTAACTCAGTGACCACTAATGCCCACTAATTATTGTACTGCCATACAGTAATGCTCTCAGGAACTACTGTGCTCAAGGGGTTAGCTGACCCTGCCCTAACTGACCCGGGAATGCGATGTAGTTCATGTTCCTGCTGCCAGCTGTCATTTCCCACAAAAGTCTACAGTGTTTCTAATCTGCTGATGGAGTTGCCTGGGGGAAACTCTGGTAGCCACACTAGTTAAACTATTGAGGTTTGGAAAATGGAATTGTAAACATAAACTATCTGTCTCCCTCAAGTGGTCTCCCAATCTGGAAGTGACACCATTCTACGGGAAAATGGCATCAATTTCTCCAGAGGCATTTTTCGTTAACGTATGGGTTTCAGCTGCCTGAGGTTGCTCTAAAAGTGCCTATTCTATTGCATATCATTCATAATCAGGCTAATCTGGGACCTAGTTCCTCAGGTAGGGATCAAGGTCCAACCTTCTAACAGATGATTTGCATGACTTGAAGATTTTTAAGAAAAGGATAACTATTTCTGGTAAACTGGCTCCCGGCTCACTGGCTCACTTCCAGCCACAACGACTAAAGCATTCTTACTGACAGACTTCAGCCCCTGGTAGGAAGCACTCAAATGAGAAACCAGATGCCAGCTTGCCAGGCCATCCCCATGAGGGATCTCTCTCCTCTAAGAGTTATGGTTATAGAGATGCTCTGCTTCACATGACATGCTGTGTAAGGATCTGTACTAGGGAATCCAGCAAAACCTTTTAAGAGCTCAATAGGCCTAAGGAACTCTAGCAATCATATATACCTTGCAATGTATCTTCAGGAATATAGTATCTTGCATACTCTCATTTAATCCTAACAGAAAACTCTATGAGGTAAAAGAAGAAACACAGGCACAGAGAGATTAAGTAATTTGCCTAAGGTTGCACAGCTTTAGGGGGTTACCAGGATTTGAATCCAGGCAATGTGTGTTCCTGTTCTTAAAAAGCAGCAACATTCGTATCTTAGTGATTTATAAACTGCTTTGTTCATTCATTCTCATTTAATTTTTCCTCAAAGAAGTAGGGGAGATGAGGACAGGAGACAAGGTTTAGTAACTTATTAAGGGTGATTATGTGTCTACCAGGCATGTCTGAGCCAGCCTGGAACCCTGGTACATTGGCTGTTCTTTGCCCTTTCCTTGACCCTATCGTACCTTGCTTTATGCACCTGTGAAACTCCAGGAATGCCTCACCAGGGCAGAGGGAGGCGCTGAGTACGGGAAACGCGGAATCCCTCACTCCTCAAGGATCTCCCAAAACCTCAGGGAAACTCGAAATTGCATGCACCAAGCAAATACGCAAGGCTGCTGACACACGTTCGCAGTAATTTACCTTCTTGTTAATTGCACGGGCACGCGGGGTGGGTTAGTTGCGAGAGTTCAAGCCCAGAGAGACCGTTAACGTAGTTAAGTGGCGTCCCGGTAGCAGCTCTGCCCTAGGCTGGAAGGGTCCCGCCCGTTACCTGTGGCTAGCACGAAGGCTGGGACGCTGTGGAAGCGCACCGGGCCGCGGCTGCGGCCGTCCTCACACGCCACGAAGGCGGCCACCAGCCCGCACGGGCAGTGAATGTTGACGCGGGCCTCGCGACTGCCCGCAAACGGCACCGGCACCAGCCCGTAGTCCAGGGCGAAGCGGCCCAGGGCCAGCACAGCGTGGCCGCACATGGAGCTGTAGCCTTCGTTATGCAGGAAAAGGACGCCCAGGTGCGCGTCTGGCAGCTCGCTCTGCACTAGGACTGCTCCGTACATGTCCCGGTGCCCTCGGGGCTCGAAGATGAGCCGTCGCCGCACGTGGTCAAGGTGCTGGCGCATGTAGCGCCGCTTGGCCAGCAGGGTTGGCCCGACCACCTCCGGACACCCCGCCAGCACGATGCGCAGGGGCTCGCCGCCCGTATGCATGTCCACCACCGACAGCGCCGGCGTCTCCGGATCATGAGGAGGCGGCCGCAGCACCGCTAGCGCGCTGTCCATGGTCTGTGTCCGGGGACACCAGCGCAGTCCCGCAGAGCTGGCTTCAGGAGCTCCTGTGACTCCGCGCGAAGAGGGCGGGACGCGAAGCAGCACCACTGGGGGCGGGGCCTCGGAGCCTAAACCCGGAAGTGGGGGAGGAACTTCGGAGCGGTTGTCCCGGTTACTGGGAGGCGGAGCCGCCGAGCCCGCTGTGGCCCGGATGTTCGGTGTAGCTGCCAGATCCGCTGATCTAGTGCTTCTCCAGCGAAACCTTCAGGCGGCCGATGGGTGAGTGGTCGCCAAGGTCCAGGGAAACGTTTCTGTTAGTCCCGGTTGCTTTCCTACACGGTTGGCCTCAGGCTTGGCTCCCTGTAGGCGGCCTTCGGCTGGCAGCGCAGGCTCGTCCCTTGACCCCGCCCGCCCTCGGGCCGGGCCCCGCATTCCTGCCGGGTTGGGGTGGTCTCTGCCCCGGACCGGTAGTCTGGGGAGGCGCGCTGCCTGCGGCGGAAAGGCCAGGCCTTTGTTGTTTGATTGAAAATGTCCCTTCAGTCCCTTAGTTTAATGTGGAGGCAACACTTGCATGAGGGTGGTTGACTTCAGAATGGAAAGCGCGGCTGATAGTGCAGAAAAAAAAACAGTAAAGCAGAAGCAAGTTGCTGCATAATTTGTCTCCTGCTTCAACCTCAAACGTAAACTTATAGGGCCCGTCCCAAAGGGGCAAGACTGTTACGAAGAAATAGAGTCTTAAAACTTTAACCATCGTTCACCAAAGGAAATGGAAGGGGAAATTGAACAGATACTTGGAACCTGGATTTTGTTTAGTAGGTAATAGGCTGTGTATTTAAGTTCAGTTTATCATACTGGTTTTCAGGCCTTGGATTTAGAGAAACTTTAGATTATTGGCAATCACATGTATTTATTAAGCATTTACTAGATGAAAAACCCATACAGAAGTTTCCAATTCGTTCGCTTCTGCATTCTTGAAAAATCTGAAACATAATTCATTTTCATTTATTAATTTAGAACATTGTGATTACAATTGGTTACCAAAAAATCAGCGCCCATTAAAGAAGCCAATAGGTTTAAAAAGCTAAGTCAGAAATTTGTTAAAAGCGAAAACATTAAACCCGAGACATTTTAGTCAATGCTCTCTTTTTCTCTCAGCAGCATAAGAAGGAGGAAATAAAAAGTCTACTTGAATGTGAAAGGAGAAAGGGCATTCTAGACCAGGCAGTCCAGACTACGAATTCTTGAAGAATCTGGGAAATGACTGTTCAAGAATAGTGAAAAGTTGCATAATTTTTCGAATTAATTCACGTGTAGACCACAGTTTGTTTTAATCCACATTAGATTGTAGGATCTTGGCAGAAACTCTTTCTCCTTGGACCTTTAGTGGCCTCTAACCAGTGGAATCTGACGCTGAATATATGTTTACTTAATGATTGAGTCAATGAATGAAGGGAATCAGATGTCAGTGAGGAAGAAAACTCCATAATTTCTTCTTGTGAATGAGGTCAAAGACAACGTATTAGGTTCTTAGTTGTTGGGTTTTTTTTAGTAAGAAATAGCTGCTTTTCCCCTAAGCCTTGAGATCAGGGGATTAATTTTAAGGCAGTGGTTCCTACATATTGGCCCAGTGACAGCCTTGATGAAATTTACACTTATCCTCCACAAATATGATAAAAGCTAGGACAATCTCGGAAGCTTTTTATAAAGGTAATTTACTTATCTCTGTTCTGACATTACATTCTCTCTGCTATTCTGTGAAAATGTGTTCTGTTGTGAACATAGGTGATAATCGTGTGTGTACATGTGGGTGCTTAATGTCCTGACTGGGAAAAATAAAAGATGGTGACCCTCTGTTGGTGCTCTAATTAAAAAATGTATGTTTATTTGAACTTCATAATCAATGAAATTCAGAAGTATCCTCTAATCAAGGGGAGTGGCTGGCTGGAGCCACTGGAGACATACTGGGTTAGGCTTTGAGTTCTGGAGGTAGATCCTGCTCTGCTGGGTGAGGACCTTAATCTAAGGCATAGTATTAACAGCAAGGTTCCAGGATGACTGTCTGCAGTGTTACAGTGTAAAAGAAGAAATTTAAATTTTAAAATGCTTCATTCTTTGGTCTAATGCATATTTAAAAATTTGAAACAGTGTTATTTCTACCAAGTGCTTCAGCTATTACTGCATTATTTTTTTAATAATCACAAAAGATGTTACTATACTGGCGTTTGTTTTTAAAAAGCTGTCGATATTCAACCAGCATGCCTTGGACTTTATTGTGGGAAGACCCTATTATTTAAAAATGGCTCAACTGAAATATATGGAGAATGTGGGGTAAGTCTTATGTTTGTATCTTATTTCATATTGTAAAATCTATTGGCTTTTGAAATATTATCACAAGTAGAATATCTTTCTTATTATACTCATTAATTTATAAAAGAATAGGGAGGGCCAGGCACAGTGGCTCATGCCTGTAATCCCAACACTTGGGGAGGCTGAGGCAGGTGGATAACTTGAGGTCAAGAGTTCGAGATCAGCCTAACCAATATACCGAAATGCCGTCTCTACTAAAAATACAAAAAAATTACCTGGGTGTAGTGGCGTGAGCTTGTAGTCCCAGCTACTTGGGAGGCTGAAACAGGAGAATTGCTTGAACCCAGGAGTTGGAGGTTGCAGTGAGCCGAGACTGCACCACTCTACTCCAGCCTGGGTAACGGAGAAAGACTGCATCTCAAAAAAAGATAAAATAAAAAAATATAAAAGAATATAGAGTCATTAAAACAGTCATTGTTTATGTTGGCATTTTGATGTCTGTATTATTTTTTAAAATGTTTAATAATTTTATAATTTCTAGTTTCTTGTGATTTAGTACAGTGTCTTATACAGTAATTTGAACATCATGAATCCAGAACATTTATCTGCAATTATTCTTATGTAATGTTAATAATTAGGTTTTTCATTGAATGTTAGTCAACTTTTTAGTAACTTAGTTAAAGCAATCTTTTAAAAGCATTGTACAAAAATAGCACATACAATATAGATTCCTTTTTTTTAACTTCTAAAACATGCACATATAATTTCAGTTTAAATGTTTAAACTGAAATAGGATGTCTTATAGAATGATGGGGGGTTGTTAATATTCCAAAATAATATCTGTACACAAAATATTGCTTTTATTTATTGTAGGTATGCCCGAGAGGACAGAGAACAAATGCACAGAAATATTGTCAGCCTTGCACAGAATCTCCTGAACTTTATGATTGGCTGTATCTTGGATTTATGGCAATGCTTCCTCTGGTTTTACATTGGTTCTTCATTGAATGGTATTCGGGGAAAAAGAGGTTAGCACATTTCTATGAACATAACTGGCTGGACTAATGTTGGAACAATTATCACTCAGAAGACCTTATTAATTAATTATGCTGCTTCTGTTTTAAAAGTGGTAAACATATTTTCCCTTTATCTTCAGATTAGTCTTCCCTGTTACAAGAAAACTTAACAATAGGGCATGACTTAGTGATTTTTAAGGGAACTCTCCTTAGTGTGTTTTAGTCTAAATGATCTTGAAGGAATACTTTTTTTTACTTCTCAACTGTAATCCTTACTGGTTTTCTACAAAAAAGTTGGTTATGATTACAAGCTATTTATTGTTATGGAACACATTCTTTGTAATTTAATACTAATAATTAAGTATGTAGTTTAAAATGATATAGCCGTAACCTAATACAAAAACTCATATTAACATATTAAATCAGCACACGTTTACTGAGCACCGCGTTTTATGTTTGGAAGATCGAGAAGGATATATAAAAATAACTGACATGGCTTATAGTCAGAATCTTGTGGAGAAAACAAATGTGTACATAATTATAATATAAAGCAGTCTTAGACATGTAGTGGAAGAGTTAGAAACAAAGTACTCTGGAGTTACAAAAAATGGAGAGATAAATTATGCCTGATGGAATCTGAAAGATTTCAAAAAAGGAACATTTTAGGCAGAGGAAATAGCATGAATAATGGCATAGAGGTATGAAATACGTGATCTGAGGTAGGTAAGAATGGAAGTAATCTGGGGTGGTCAAGAGTGGGTTACAAGTGAAGAAAAGTAATTAATATAAGGGGGAATAGGAAAGATAGGTTGAGGGCAGAATGTGAAGGTTCTTGACAAGCATGTGAAGTTTAATCTGCTGGGAATGGGAGGTCAAATTCTGCCTTAGTGCATTTCAGCCACACTGATTTTCTTTTAGTTGTTCCAGCTTCTCAGGATCTTTCCTACTTTAGGTTCTTTCCCTTCCTCCAACCTCTTTCTGCTGTCTGAAATAGTCTCTTCTTCATCTGACTGCAACTTGTTACCTAGCTACCTTCTTTTCCTTCTGATTCCAGTTTAAAAGTCACTCAGAAAGTTGAGTGCTAAAAATGAAACAACAACAAAACGAAATGTGCTATTAAAAGAGAAAAATAAGGAAAATAGCCTACTTTCTATTCTTTTAGGCCTCTGGGCCTGTGGTGAGACAGGCAGTCTGAAAGACTTCTGAAATGCCTTCAAGGCCTTTTCTCATTGTCTTGGCTATTAGCACTTGGCTTTCTTTTAGCCATGCTAACCTCTCTAGCAAGTTTTGCTCTGCAGCCTGGTTGAATTCCTCTCCTGAAAGTGCTCCTTTCTTCTCTACCACACAGCCAGGCTGCTAATTTTCCAAACTTTTAGGCTCTGCTTTCCTTTTAAGTCCCAACTTTTAGATCATTCCTTTGCTCCCACATCTGTCTGATCACAGGCTGTTAGAGCAGCCACAGCATATCTTGAATGCTTTGTTGCTTAACAATTTCTTCCACCAGATACAGAGTCATCACTCTTAAGTTCAAACTTCCACAGATCCCTAGGACATGGACACAATGCAGCAACGTTCTTTGCTAGGGCATAATATGGGTGACCTTTACTACAGATCCCAGTAACTTCCTTATTTCCATGTGAAACCTCATCAGCCTGGCTTTCACTGTCTATATTTCTGTCAGCATTTTGGTCACAATCACTCAGGGCTCTAAGATGTTCCAAACCTTCCTTCATCTTCCTGTCTTCTTCTGATATCTCCAAACACTTTCAGCCTCTGCCTGGTACCCAGCTCCAAAGCTGCTTTCGTATTTTCAGGTATCTTTATAGCATTGCCCCACTCTTCAGTTTTAATTTTCCGTTAGTCCATTTGTGTTGCTATCAAGAATACCTGAGACTGGGTAATTAATAAAGAAAAGAGGTTTAATTGGCCCATGGTTCTGGCATCTGCTTCTGGTGATGGCTTGAGGAAGCTTACAATCATAGCAGAAGGCAAAGGGGAACCAGTATGAGAGGAGGCAGGAGGCAAAGAGGAACTACATGGTGAAAGAGGGAGGATAAACAAATCACGGTATTGTCACACAGTGGAATCTTAACCCAGTAGCAAAAATGACTGAACCTCTGTTATAAGGGTGAATAGCATGGATGAAACTTGGAAATGCAATTTCAAGTGGAAAAAAATCTCAGAAGACTTACGTTAGTGTGCTATCATTTTATAGCATTCAAAAATAGGTAAAACTAACCAGAGTAGTTGTGAAACATAAATACAATTGGGATAAAAACTTTCTAGAATAAGGTGATAAAAGCATTTTGGTATATGGTTGCCTTTAGGGGAGAGACGGAGTTAGGGATGGGGAGGAACAAAGAAATAGATATCAGTTGTTGACAGTGTTCTAGTTATTGGGTAGGAGACGAGCTTATAATATTCATGATAATGACTATACTTTGTAACATACATGTTACATACCATCTTTTGTGTGCATATTAAAATATTAAAATGATACACAGATAACTTAAGAAAATTTTAGCAGCAATTTGGCAAGATACTAAAGATACAAGATAGATCTAATTTCTCCTTCTCTGTTACATAAATGTGTAATAATACTGCCACAGTGTTATTTATCCCTTTTGAGAAAATAAGTTTATACTCTTGAGTAGTTTTTATGCTTGGCTATTCTCATCTATTTAGAAATCTGTATCTTGACACATGTACATGTTTTTTAAAGCCATTTAAATACTGCAATTTTTCTGGTAATTATGCCTCTTTTCCTTCTTCTCTAGTTCCAGCGCACTTTTCCAACACATCACTGCATTGTTTGAATGCAGCATGGCAGCTATTATCACCTTACTTGTGAGTGATCCAGTTGGTGTTCTTTATATTCGGTCATGTCGAGTGTTGATGCTTTCTGACTGGTACACGATGCTTTACAACCCAAGTC